CGAGGACAGGGCGCTCAGGGGGTTGGTGGTAGAGGAAACCGCCAAGAGGGAGGTAGAGGTCAAGGTCCCCCGCCAAATGGCTCACGATCTTACCGGTCACCTCCAAGGAGAGGTGTATGGCACCTTGGCTTGCCACAGGGCAGGCCATGGGAAGACCTGGGCTTGGACCAGACTGTGTGGCAGCGTCGTGTGGACCAGAATCAGTGCATTTACTGCGGTGATCCTGCCCACATAATTAAATATTGTCCAAAGTACAGAGAAGCCCGGTATGCTGCACAAGCAGTAAAAGCCAACCGCCGGTAGGGGTGGCAACTGCCCCTACCCCTAGGCCATGTGGAGAAGAGTGCGTGCACCATAGAGGAACTCCCAAACCACATGAGCCTACGACAGAGGTTGCTGGCCAGTACCTAGACAGTTGTCCAGAGACTGCGTGTGTAAGCGTCTCCCAATTTTTTTTACAAACTCTTGTGAGGGTGACTGCTTCTAGGGAAACCTACTGATTGTCTTTGCGCTCCCACTTCCTTTACCACTTAGCGGCCATTTAGGGGCCTTAGTTGTTGATCTGGGTCGTTTCCCTTTTGACGATAAAGCTTGTGTGTGTGTGTGTGTGTGTGTGTGTGTGTGTGTGTGTGTGTGTGTGTGTGTGTGTGTGTGTGTGTGTTTGATGAGATGAGTCCACCGCACCCAGAGGCGCGGCGAGCCGCATTTTTTATTGAAAAACAGCACAATCCCAACAGGATGCAGAAGTCATGGACATTACTAGTTTCGAATGAACAACCATACGATCCAAGTGGTTTTCCACTACGACTCGATACATCTGTTTTTTTTTTGTTTTTTTTTTTATTCTCCTCAGACTATGTAGAAATCATTCACAGATTAAAACCAATCTCAAACTCGTAGAAGGAAAGCAGGAAGGTAGTGGGAAGCGAGAGGGTGGGAAGAGGGTAAGGAGAAGAAGAGAGATCGAGGGGAGAAGAAAGGGGAGGGGGATCAAAGGGTATAGGGTTTCGACAGAAGTAAAGATTCTGGACCTATATTATCGGCAAAGATCCGTTTCACAACAGCAAAGGTATGGAAAAGTGGTGAGCACCACAATCAAAAGGGACTCAGATGATGATTCGATATAGACAAAGAGTTTCATATCATTGCTGAAATACGAATAAAAGAGAGGAGGTAGAAGCTATAACATCCATTGAATAGATACTGAGATTATCCAGAAGTGGCGAACTTTCGTCTAGTACAAAGTAACCAGTGAGACAATTTCCCTTGAAAGCGGGGACAAAGTCAACACAAATAGGCAATCATGTTGTTGATGCAATCAGACTCGACTTATTCACACTTCATCATGCTTGCAAACAGCGATACAGCAAACTGGCGACATGCGCCCACACAATACTCAAAGATATCGTAACCAGATATGAGTTCTCTTCCAACTGGCTATGGCGACTGTGCGCCCATACAACTCAGTGTTCACACTCGAGATCACCCTGGATGTCCCACACGCGACACTTAGTGTTCATACACAACACACACACACTAGGCTATGGCTATGGCAGCGCTAGCTGCCACTACCCTATCGCTACACTACACTTCTCTGCCCACTTCG